ACAGCACCCCCTACTCCACCCTCCACCCATCCTATTGGGGGGTGGGGAACCTTCTGGTGCGGGGGGAGAAAGGTTCCGCCCCAAAAGGCACAGGGCCCCTCCGGGAGGAAAAAAAACAGCAAGTTTCCATCCTGGCCCTTTTCCTGTTTCAATTCGGCTGTTGGGGGGCCCCCACAGAAAGCGCGGGCCGCGGTCAGGACAGCCTTGCCTCTTTTCCCTCTACCAATAAAGGCCCCACGGCTTCCTGGCCTTTTCTTGAGCCTGGCCTTAGGCCTTTCCCCGGGGCCCATGCCAAAACCCAGGCCCGAAAGGGTTCTCCCGGGAGGGGGAACAAAGAGCCCTCCCCCCAGGGGGGGGGGGGGGGGGGAGGGGGGAACCCTGTCAGAACCTGGGAGGCTGTGGGCCACACCCGTAGGGCGGGGATGGGGCAGGGGGGCAGAGTAAGAAAGCCCACTCCTCCTTCGCTCCAGTCCTTCCCACCAGGGACCCACGGCCTCCGTGGTGGTAGTCACAGAGGTGGCCACCGTGTGGGGACAGGCAGTGAGGACATAACAGTGGCAAGGTGGGGATGGTGCCAACCGCGAGGATGTGTGAGTTGTGCTTTAGTAGGGGTGTGTGTGGTGAGTTCCCAAGGGGCCAGCGGCAGAGAGCAGGAGGCCTCAGGCCTGGGGCCGCGGAGGGCCTGAGACTACCTCTCCTGCCCTGTCCGCTCCGTGGTCAGAGCACTGGGACCAGCACTTGTTCAGTCCTGAGTTAACCTGGTCGCCTGCCTCACAGACGGGGGCGCAGAGGCAGGACGGTCGGCAGGGAGGCTGCTCTGAGCTGCTTGGGCTCCGAAGACACTGTGCTTAGACCTCCGAGTCCCACCGCAGAGGCGGGACGGGTTAGTGCCGGGTGGAGAGCGGCGGTCCGTGGCTCCCCTTCCTGCAGAGCGGGGCTCTGTTTCGTCTGGGGGTGGCCTGTCCTGGGGCTCCCCGCCTGGAAGCGCTGGGCGCGTGCAGAGCCTCCTTTACCCAAGCCCAGAGCAAGTGCCCCGCACAGTCGTCCAGGGCAGCTGTCGCCCTCCGCATGCCCTCATCACGGGGACAAGGCTTTGCCCTTCGCCCCGAGGGCTGGCCCTGCTCTGAGCTGGGGGGCAGCGGGCATCTTTGGTGCTTTGGTCCAGGGCGGCCCTAGGTCGCGGAGCCCAGCGAGTCCGAGTGCAGCGTGACGTAGCCCGAGGACTCGGACGGCGAGCTCAGGAAGCTGCTGGTGCTGCCGCCGCCGCCCGCCACGTGCAGGCCCGCGGGCTCGCCCCACGACGCGCTCAGGCCCGGCTGCAGGGGCCGGACGTGCGCATGCGCG